GTCGAGATTTTTACGCGCAACCACATTTATTATCTTGTTTATCTATACCCACGTAATTTAAAATATTGTTTAATGTAGGCTAACTGATAAGTCATCAGTCGAAATAGATTATATCATTTCTTAATCAATTATATACTTCTAGATAAGAGGTTTTAATATATTCGTATTTCCCATTGTAAGTTTTTGTTATTGTAATCAAAAAATATATCTGTTAAATTAGACAAATTTTTAATCTTATTGCCAAAATAATATTTTTTTTTTAATGAGGTTGTAGGACTGGTGTCTACTGTTATAATTGTTCATTCATATTATATGCATGATTATGTATTTTACAATGGCAGGTCAATAATTAGTAAACACTTCCAGTTGATCTGGGCACTTGGAAAAATCGTACCTGCCCCTTCCTAGATGGGAGTTCAGGTTAGTTAACCTGGCTCCCCCTTGTCAGTGATGCAGGACGAAAAACTGAGGTCCCGTGGACACATTGGCGTGCACTTTAAAGATCCCTTGACAGTTGTAATTCGATATAAGACTAGGCCATAGTGCCGCTGTCTGGGCAAAATTTCTCTCATAGCACACTGCATGGCGTATGCCCGTCTTTATTAGCCCAGTTTGGAGCAGAACAGAAGGACGTTAAACCTCATTTCATTTATAAGCCGGCTCTCAAATACTGACCACTCGTATCTACATCATTGTCTACAATAAATATATACTATAATATAATGATACCAGTCTCTAGAGATTGTCAGAAAAGCCTACAAAAATTGATATAAATATTCACATGTTTATATTATTGTCAGTTGTGTTTGGGTAACATAATACTCTATAAGGACATAGAACGAGGTTAAAATTCAAATAATTTATCTGATGAATAGATTATATTATTTCTTAATCAATTATGTACTTAGAGATAAGAGATTTATATTTGTATTTCCCTAATTATTATACATTATTTAGTTTTTCTTATACGCCTATATTAAACAATAATTAGATATTTTTATATGCCCATATTTTAATGTTACAGAACAAAATTCTAAATTTTCTATTTTCCTAAACTTGGAACATAACCGTTATGGGAATTTTAAAGGAGTCAAAATTATTTCGAAAATTTCGACATACATACATCTTGTGATTGAGGGAGGGGGTGGGGGTAGATCTATTAGACCTGTTGGTTCGTCATATGCTACAAGTCTAAATATGTAAATTTTCCCTTTTCCTTAAACTTGGTACATACCTGTTTATGGTAATTTTAATGGGGCCAAAATTATTTCAAAATTTTCAACATATAAACATATGGGGGTGGTAGTGGGGTCGAGATTTTTACGCGCAACCACATTTATTATCTTGTTTATCTATACCCACGTAATTTAAAATATTGTTTAAAGTAGGCCAACTGATTATTCATCAGTCCAAATGAATTATATTATCTGTTAATTATATACTTATAGATAACGGGTTTTAATATATTTGTATTTCCCACTGAAAGTCTTTGTTATTGTAATCAAAATATGTGATGTTAAATTAGACAAATTATAATCTTATTATTGCCAAAATAGTACATTCTTTTTTTAATGAGGTTGTAGGACTGGTGTCTACTGTTATACCCCACCTCCCCACCTCCTTCCTAGCTGTCTCTCAATACTGACCGCTCCTATTTACATCATTGTTTCAAATAAGTAGGCCTATATACCTGGGCTGGGGCCATTACATTACCATTACTTTTTAAATGTAATCATTACAATTACTTTCTCATTTTTAACAATGTAATTAATTACCATTACCAATTACATTGAAAGTAATTAATTACCATAACCCATAACTGTATGACTATATAAATAAAAAACATTTTTCATAGAAATTAAAGACAAACTTATTTTCCTGCCATGAAGCGCCTACAAAATCAAACTCAAAATAATCCTTGATTCACTCAATAGATATTTGTTTATCAATTGTCATTTCTAGCAACTATAACATCAAGGCAAATTTTATAGTGATAGGCAGTGGTGACAAAACTGACATTTTCACTGTATGATTTGAAAATTTAATCAAAAGAATAGTTAATTAACTGTATTTTCTTTTAAGTAATTTTTTTAATTTTTTAATCAATCCAAATAGTTTGTCTATAATATATTGTATAATAACTGGTAAATTATTCAGCATGACTCTAAAACAAAATATATTAGTTTTAAGTAACCATAAAATGATGAGATACTTGAAGGTCATTGATTGAGTGATTGGCTGTAAATTAGTATTAATCTTTGATTACAATATACATCTTTTCAGAAATCCTATTTAATTACATTTCCATTACTCATTACTTTTGAAATCTTCCATTACTCATTACATGGCCATTACTTAAAAAATGTAATGATTACATTCCATTACCATTACCCCTGCCCTGCTATATTCTATAATATGATGATACCAGTCTCTAGGGATTGTCAGAAAAGCTTACAAAGATTGATATAAATATTCACATGTTTATATTATTGTCAGTTGTGTTTGGGTAACATAATACTTTATATAAGGACATAGAACGAGGTCAAAATTCAAATAATTCATCTGTTGAATAGATTATATTATTTTTTTATCAATTATTTACTTATAGATAAGAGATTTTGATTTATATTTTTATTTCCCTAATTATTATACATTATTTAGTTTTTCTTAACGCCTATATTAAACAATAATTAGATATTTTTATATGCCCATATTTTTATGCTATAAAACAAAATTCTAAATTTTCTATTTTCCTAAACTTGGAACTTAACCTGTTTATGGTCATTTTAAACGGGGCCAAAATTATTTTGAAATTTTCGACATACAAACATATGGGGGTGGTAGTGGGGTCAAGATTTTTACGCGCAACCACATTTATTATCTTTTTTTTTATCTATACCCAGGCATTTTAAAATATTGTTTAATGTAGGCCAACCGATAGTTCATCAGTCGAAATAGATTATGTCATTTCTTAATCAATTATATACTTATGTTTTTAAGATTTTTGCCTGCAACCACATTTAATATTTCTTTATCTATACCAACATATTTTAAGATATTGTTTAATATTGGCCAACTTATATCTTGTTTCGTAATCATTAATATACCCTATATGTATTAAATACTTAAGCGTTTCTTGATTGAATTTAGAGTTTAGACTACTTTTTTTGTACATTTCACCGATGTGGTTACTTGTTTAGTTGAATTTTACTACATATGCTTACATTCGTATTTCGTGTAGCATATAGCAGATCATGACTTATGCTGGCATTACACAATTGGTTCTTTGGGTTGTATTCCTAATTGTTTTCAAATTTGAGTGAAGTCTGTGTCACTACAGACCCGGGACTGTACAGCGCAGTGGACACTTACGGCTAGCCCCCGGATCCATTCACTTTTTTGAATTGTCTGTATGTTTGTGTTTTCCTGAGTATGATGTCCTGTCCGTGTATTTGTTTTTGTGTAAATTTTGTGTGGTGCAGTCCCCCTGCACTTACTATTATAGATGTAGTTAAAAATTATTTACAAATGAAATATTTCACCATCGTTGTTTTTTCTGAATCTGTAATTTTGCTGATGTTATAGTGTATCTTTGTATATATTTTATTACTATTTAATTTTAGTCAAAATAGCAATTGACCAATGTCCAAATTGATATCTCGTTAATCTTTCCTGTCTTTTAACTGTTTGGTTTTAAACTTAATGTAACGATATATATTACGTAATTATAGTTAACACGCATTCTTGCTATGTCCATATCTTCTTCTGTATTTAAACATTTGTTTCCTATGTACAATTTAACATTTCTGGTCAAATATTATTATATAATTATTTTAATCCTAAACTTGTATATATATTCCATATTCTACTGTAACTTTAGTCTGGTGACCTGCTCTAGTGATACCTATCTTATTATTGTGACCATTAGCCAGTTTTGGACACTCGTTTATTAAAAGTACAATTTTAAATATTTATCTGAGTTTTTGTCATTAGTGTTGGAATAAGCTACAACCCCCAGAAAACAGTACTTCGGCACTGTGAACAGCTGGCGGTAGACGTAAAATGAGATGCTGTTTAAGTTAAGCTTCTGAAATCAATGCACATGCCATTATTGACGATTATGTGAACGAGGCATGAGGCTTTATATTAATTTGAGATAACAATTTTTGCTTAGCATTGGAGTATAGTGCATTCAAAGCATTAGGCCAACACGTTTTTAAACTTTCGGCGAATTATTTGTTTCTGTTCCCCCCCCCACCCCTGGAAAAAATTGGTGCCCATATCAGTATGGCGCCCCAGAAATCCGATTGACATTGTTGCACTCCCACGACAAGATTGGTTTTATAAACTTATCGTTATATGAGGCGCCCCCCCCCCCCCCATAATGAATCACACGATTAACACCACAACTTGATTGAGGGGGTGTCCAAAGCTGCATGATCTGTGGGGTACTTTATCCAGGAGGGAGGGGGGGGCATAATGACATGTTTGGTGGGGTGCCTTATAATGACAATATAATGATTGTCGGGCTGCACATATGCCGAGTGAGATTGGCTGAGCGCGCCCACGTCTTGATCAATGGGTTGCCTCATCCAGGAAGGGCGCCCATAATGCCGAAAGGGGTGGGCCACGACGAGATCATGGGCGCCCATAATATAATTTGCGGGGTGCCCATATTGCCGAGTGAGATTGGGCGACCAAAACGGCGTGATAATCTTCAAAAATCAAACAATTTGCACTGATCAAACCTGATTCCAAACTTTTCGTTTTGCTCATAAATTATAATATCAAAATATCATATTGCAAATTCAGTCTCAAAATTGAAATTTTCATAGTTCCCCTCATCAGGTGCAAAACCCTATTTTCCAAAATTTCGGGGGGGGGGGGGAGAGCACCCTATTAGCGCCCCCCAGAAGCCCTTGCCGCCCAAACCCCATCCCCCCCCCACCCAGCTCGCCAACGTTTTTGGGCTAGCTACGGGCCTGAAGTGTGGATTAAGTCGTCAGAGATTTGATATTTTCCGAAAAATGCAAATCACGCTGATTTCGGTAAGTATTTAACCGGATCCGTCTAGCTGCGGTCGATTCCGGTATATTTATGTTGGTGTCGGTAATGGTTTCAACGTCTGGATGATAAGGATTACTGAGTTGCCCACCTGACCTGAAAGATGGCGGACCTCGAAGAAGCCACTGAATTATTGAAAAAATGCGATGTAAATGAGGTGGCAAAGGTTTGTATTGTACATTAGTAACGTGAGATAGATAAGCAACTTCGAATTTACTAGTTTACGCCATGATCGTTTCTATCTTTAAAATGGAATTCAGCGGTATAAAATTTATGCGTTTACTTTCAATTTATTTTTCTTGACGTCTGACCACGCCCACCTATAAATTCGAAATGAAATTGGGTTTAAGGTCCTACTGTTCTGCTCTTGAAGACGGGCATATGCCATACAGTGTGCCATGAGGAGGGAAATTTTGCATGGACAGTGGCACTATATGGCCTACTCTTTTTATATCGAATTCCAAATGCCAAGGGATATATGTTATGTGCACGCCAATGTGTTCACAGGACCTCGGTTTTCCATCCCATCCGAATAACTAGACAGCTGTCCTTGTCAGGCCCTCCATCCTGCACCACTGACAAAGCGAAACCATGTCAGAAAATCCTGATAAACTTTCTTGGCCAATGCAGGGATCGATCATGCGACCTTCAGACTAGCGAGCCAGCATCCTACCCACTTGGCCAACGTGGCTCCCACGTATAAATTCAGTGAATCTAATATTAATAACGTTATTGTGCAGGGTGACTGCACCACATGTAAACCATTACACAAGTGCTGCTGAATTGTAAAATATTACCCATTTATAAGCGTAAATCGGTTTGCTGTTATATGCAAAACATATTGTGCACAAATACCATGTTTTTATTAAGTATAGAATGAATAAAAACAAGGGAATGTACGGACTATTTCTTTTCTATTTTTTTCGTTTTCTCTTATGTAGTGACATTCAATTACTTTTTTGTATTGTCCGATATCCTCTCACATAACAACTTTTGGTCTTGGAAGGAATTATTAGTGAGCAGAAATTCGCCTGTGATCTGCTATCACTTGTCACATCAAAAAGAAAGATAACTCATGTTTTCCTTTTGCTTCATTTCCTTTAACTGCCATTAGAAATATCAAATACTATACATAAACCATGCATTATTTTGAATTACAGCTTACTCATCTTGTGGCAGAATGGTGGATACAGATGGCAGAGGATACAGGCAAGGCAGTATGGTGGATACAGAATGGTGGATACAGAATGGTGGACACAGACGGAAGAGGATGCAGGCAAGGCAGTATGGTGATCTGTTTGGCGGAGTGGGAAAGGGAAGTTCTGCCACTCTGTCCATTAAAACCAGATTTCTATGGGCGGTTTTTAGATGACGTTTTCATAGTCTGGACCTACACACTAGACGAATTTTTGACGTTTTTCAACATTCTGAACAATCATCATCCATCTGTCAAATTAACCGCAAATGTAAGCCATAACAGCATAGATTTCCTTGATACTACCGTCTTTAAAAGTAACAACACCAAAATCACCGGCCAATTGGAAACTAAAGTATTTTTCAAAGAAACCGACACACACCAATTATTGTTCAAAAGCTCCTTTCATCCAAAACATACATTCTCTGGCATCATAAAATCTCAGATTCTCCGTTTTCATAGGATATGTACTCAGAAGACCGACTTTGAGTCAGCATGTACATTGGTATTTAGCAAACTAAGGGAAAGGGGATACTCCAAACGCTATCTACGACGTATAAAAAACAACACTCTAGCTGAGGTTGCCGCCAAAGAAACAAATAATATACAATCAGCACATAAAACCAAAATTTGTGGCCATCCAAGATGTCAAACATGCAAAATCTTAAACATATCCGACCATTTCCATAACAAAACATCTGGCACAAAATTCCCAATATTAGACCAACTTTCATGCAGTAGTTTAAACATAATTTATCTAATCTCATGCAGAAAATGTGACAAGCAATACGTAGGGGAGACTCAAAATGCACTTAGGGAAAGAATTAACGGTCACCGGTCTGACATAGTCACCAAAAAAGACAAACCTGTCTCAATTCATTTCAACTAACCAAATCATGACATTTCTGATCTCATTGTCACGCCAATAGAAAAGACCAAAAGCGACTTTGAAACTTCAGAAGAAATTAAAACGTTTAGGCTAACAAGAGAAAAATTCTGGATTGACAAATTGAAAACAACAGCCCCCCTAGGTTTGAATATTCATACGGCTAGCGCAATAGCTCCTTTTGTAGTTCCATTTAGCGCAACAGCAGCAAGTGCGTCCAAAATCATCAGAAAACACTATACGGATCTCCAAGAAAATCACCCGAAAATATTCACACAGAAACTTATAATTGCATATTCTAAAAATAAAAATCTGAACGACATCCTAGTGCACAGTAAATTAGATTAAATAAGACCAGTCTCCACCCTGACCCAAAACAAACCATATATCAAATCCTATGCCTAACCGTTAGTAATTAAAATCAATTAGATATAAGAATCCCTAGCCGTAACCCGGTGATGTGGAACAAACACGATTTTTTTAGAAAATCCAATCCGTTGTAGGAAACACACTAATGTGGCTCTCTCCCGAGAGCCTCAAATTTATTTTCTTTTTTCTTCAGAAACAATAATACCAGAATACCAGAAGCACCACCCAAGGAAGACCATCAGCGCCACCAACACCAATAAACAGTGAAATCGCCTTTGTATATAAATGTAATGTATTGTATGTATTTTAATAAAACTAGGAAATATCACGAACTAATTTTTCATCATCCTAGGTCAGTGCTTATGTGGAGACTTAACCTCTCCCCCCAAATTCTTAAACCTAACCCACAATCTTGTCAAAAAGCATGTAGCCTAGGCCTAAGTCAAGACCTAGTCCTGACCCTAGCCCTAACCCACAATTGTTTCAAAAAATCATGTGCCCTAACCCTATTTACATGTTGTGACCTTGAACCAAGTCTGCAGTTGGCCTTAATATTTAGACCTAACATGTTTTGACATCATACAATGAAATGGAAACATGTACATACACTCCAAAATTCACACCTGTGAGTTTTTACCAAACATGCAGTTGGCCTTAATATTTAGACCGAACCTCAAAACATGGCATCTATCTTTGAGATTGGCTTAGACTTATGTGACACTTTTACTTTTTTACTGACTGTTAACTGGTTTCTTTTTGGAGGGCCAGTGACGGGCTGTTCGCTAGAAATAAAGAGGTTTATTTCTATTTTTTTTTCTTATTTTCTCACTGTTTTTTATTGCATATTTATCCCCAGCCTCCTATCATTTCAGGTGCCAGGGTAATGTTTCATAGAGTGGAATGATTGACCTCAACACAAGTATTAAAAAAAGAAGCAAAACAGGTGAGATAAATGTGCATTTCATACACTTTAAGAAGTACATCCAACCTGTTCCACACTTCTGCTCGCTAATAGTAATGGGCTGGAAATTTGGTACTGCACAAGCCTGTCTTCTCCCCTTGACATGTAACTGAATGACAGAATTCCACATTTTGACCATTTTCTGGATGTAAATGACCATTTCCCTGGATAGTATTCGCCCCAGAATTCTCATTCTCATCCAAATTTAACATTTCAGGTCTACATCTCAAAACCTGATTTCTTCCTGGACTGGCTTTAGTAGAACGATGATGCATATCAATTTCATCCCTGATCTCTATGACACCTGTGGTGGAAGTGGAGGGCAAATCGTAATCAATTCGGGTTCCAGCCCCGAGGACCTCTGTAAACTTTGCTTTTTGGTGATGACTTCATTTCCAAGCTTGAAAAGGACGCCCTTGTGTTTATCATGGCCTCTCATATTGGAAGATAACATAAATGGCTTGTGTGTTGATCGACGGTTGTGCATATCTCTTGGTCAGGAAAGTTGTAGGCACCATCGCCATTGTAAATCATTTGACAGGCCAGAGTGAACAGGGAGACCTATGATTGGTCAGCAATGTATCAGATTCCATACTAGGGGGTGGGGATGAAAAAACTGATGTAGTGTTACATAATCAGATTATTTCAACTTACTTATCCTGTGGAAATACAGCTATATAGGAGATATTTTGAAATTTATAAGCGCTGCATGTTTCAACATTTTAGATTTGACCACAATTTGGCACTTGAAACTAGGTTAACAGAGAAAAACTGTGTGGTTTTCGATGAAAGTGTTAAGTCTAATATTGCATCATGATTACTGTTTTAAAGTATTTTCGTGTTTGATTTATATTGAATTCATCTCATCTTTTTAAAGAATGCATTTATGTTCAAAAATAAAAATGTTCTGTGGAATTAAAAATTCATGTGCTTTTAAATTATCGGATTCCAAACTGGGGGGTGGGGATGAAAAAGCTGTTGTAGTGTTACATAATCAGATTATTTCAACTTACTTATCCTATGGAAATACAGCTATATAGGAGATATTTTAAAATTGATAGGCACTGCATGTTTCAACATCTTAGATTTGACCACAATTTGGCACTTGAAACTATGTTAACAGAGAAAAACTGTGTGGTTTTCGATGAAAGTGTTAAAAGTCTAATAATGCATCATGATTACTGTTTTAAAGTATTTTCGTGTTTGATTTATATTGAATTTATCTCATCTTTTTACAGAATGCATTTATGTTCAAAAATAAAAATGTTCTGTTTAATTCAAAATTCATGTGCTTTTAAATTTCTGTCTGAAATTCCGCAGTTTTCTGATGTATTATAGTGTTTGCAGAATGCCGCACAGCTCATCTGAAAATGCATAGATTTTCATATTGTTTGGCCAGGGAATTGCATATATGTTTGTTTATTAGATAACAACAGATTTGTTTAAACTGCAGAAACATGTGAGGTATATAGGACTAAGACTAGTAATTATATGAATGTAGTGCGAGTTATAAATAGACAATTTTTCCCTTAATTTTTTTCTCCCCTCTTCCTGCATTTTTTTGTTGACTTTTTGGTCTAGAATTGGAGAAAAGGGATCAAATTTGCAATTTCATAGCGGTTTTGGGTAATACTGATGATATTACAGCTGAGTGATAGGGGGTGTAAAGTCTCTTTCTGCAGAGCAATCATTGTGTCGGAAGTGAGATTTTCACCCCAGTCAACCTCAAATCTGCGTAGCAAAAAATCTAAATGGTCAACCCCCTACAAAATTATGATGAGGAGATTGCCAAATGTTGTCCCCATTGTGCCTATAAAGATTGGAACCAACGGAATGTTGAGCAAAAAGCTACAGCCTGTGATGTTACAGCCATTTAACATTGAAGTCAATGGGCAAATAATTGCTAGTCTGAGACCATATCGGATCGTAACTTACTGAATTATGGCCCTTGATTGTATGAAAAATCACTTTTTTTTTGAGCTTGTTCTCTGTCCATCTCTTGCAAAATGTGGGCGTATCTTGCAAGGCAACCGCTTGTTTTAAAATATTGTTGAATGTGGGCCAACAAATAATTCATCAGTCGAAATAGATTATATTATTTCTTAGTCAATTATATACTTTAATCCATTCACTTTATTTGAATTGTTCGTTTGTTTGTGATTTCTGCGTATTCTGTCTTATCCATATATTTGTTTTTGTGTAAATTATTTGTGGTGCAGCCCCCTGCACTTACTATTATAGATTAGAGGTTTTGATTTATATTCGTATTCCAATATATCTGATGTTAAATTAGACAAATTATTATCTTGTTATTGCCAAAATAGTATTTTTATACGCCCACATTTTCATGTGGACGTATTATGCCGTCGCCTCTGTCCGTCCGGACGTCCGTCCGTCCGTCCGTCCACAATTGTTTGTGGACTCTCTACAGGTCACAATTCTTATCCGATTTCGACGAAACTTGAAATATAGGTGTATCCCCAAAAGATCTCGGCTGCTTTCGATATTGGCATGTATCGGATCGAAACTTCATGGATTATGGTCCCTGTTTGTACGAAAAATCACGTTTTTAGCTTGTGGACCCTATAGAGGTCACAATTTTGATCCGATTTTGTTGAAACTTGAAATGTAAGTTTATAACCCAAAGATCTTGATTCCTTTCGATATTCGTGCATATCGGACCGTAACTTCCTGAATTATGGCCCCTGATTGTACGAAAAATCACGTTTTTAGCTTGTGGACCCTATAGAGGTCACAATTTTGATCCGATTTTGTTGAAACTTGAAATGTAAGTTTATAACCCAAAGATCTCGATTCCTTTCGATATTCGTGCATATCGGACCGTAACTTCCTGAATTATGGCCCCTGATTGTACGAAAAATCACGTTTTTAGCTTGTGGACCCTATAGAGGTCACAATTTTGATCCGATTTTGTTGAAACTTGAAATGTAAGTTTATAACCCAAAGATCTCGGTTCCTTTCGATATTCGTGCATATCGGACCGTAACTTCCTGAATTATGGCCCCTGATTGTACGAAAAATCACGTTTTTAGCTTGTGGACCCTATAGAAGTCATAATTTTTACCCGATTTAAAAAAAACGTATTATTATATCACCGTTACACCCTAGGGACGACTGAATTCGAATTTCGTGAAAATCGGCCCAAAATTGACAGACAAAATGGCCGCCGTTCGTTCTCAAATAGCGTAAGAAAATGGTACATCAAGGTTGTGGACCCTATAGAGGTCACAATTTTTATCCGATTTTGTTGAAACTTGAAATGTAAGTTTATAACCCAAAGATCTCGGTTCCTTTCGATATTCGCGCATATCGGACCGTAATTTCCTGAATTATGGCCCCTGATTGTACGACAAATCGCGTTTTTAGCTTGTGGACCCTATAGAGGTCATAATTTTTATCCGATTTAAAAAACCGTATTATTATATCACCGTTACACCCTAGGGACGACTGAGTTTGAATTTCGTGAAAATCGGCCCAAAATTGACAGACAAATTGGCTGCCGTTCATTCAGTTCCTTTCGATATTTGCGCATATCGAATTGTAATTTCCTGAATTATGGCCCTTGATTGTAGGAAAAATCACTTTCTTGTTAGCTTGTTCTCTATCCATCTCTCGAAAATGTGGGCATATCCTGCCTGGCAGCCGCTGGTTTAAAAATAAAGTTGTAGGACAGTTTTATTATTGACTATTTATATTATATGCATGATTATGTATTTTACAATGTAAGGTCAATAGTGAGTAAACACTTCCAGTTGGTCAGAGCACATGGGAAAATCCTACCTCCCCCTTTCTAGATGGGAGTTAGGGTTAGGTAGCGGACCACTCATGTCTACATCTTTGTTTCAAATAAGTATATACTATAATATGATGATACCAGTCTCTAAGAGATTGCCAGAAAAGCCTAGAAAGATTGATATAAATATTTACATGTTATATTATTGTCAGTGTGTTAGGGTAACTTAATACTTTATAAGGACATAGAACGAGGTCAAAATTCAAATAATCCATCTGTTGAATAGATTATATTATTTCTTACTCAATTGGTGCCCATATCAGTATGGCGCCCCAGAAATCCGATTGACATTGTTGCACTCCCACGACAAGATTGGTTTTATAAACTTATCGTTATATGAGGCGCCCCCCCCCCCCATAATGAATCACACGATTAACACCACAACTTGATTGAGGGGGTGTCCAAAGCTGCATGATCTGTGGGGTACTTTATCCAGGAGGGAGGGGGGGGGCATAATGACATGTTTGGTGGGGTGCCTTATAATGACAATATAATGATTGTCGGGCTGCACATATGCCGAGTGAGATTGGCTGAGCGCGCCCACGTCTTGATCAATGGGTTGCCTCATCCAGGAAGGGCGCCCATAATGCCGAAAGGGGTGGGCCACGACGAGATCATGGGCGCCCATAATATAATTTGCGGGGTGCCCATATTGCCGAGTGAGATTGGGCGACCAAAACGGCGTGATAATCTTCAAAAATCAAACAATTTGCACTGATCAAACCTGATTCCAAACTTTTCGTTTTGCTCATAAATTATAATATCAAAATATCATATTGCAAATTCAGTCTCAAAATTGAAATTTTCATAGTTCCCCTCATCAGGTGCAAAACCCTATTTTCCAAAATTTCGGGGGGGGGGGGGGAGAGAGCACCCTATTAGCGCCCCCCAGAAGCCCTTGCCGCCCAAACCCCATCCCCCCCCACCCAGCTCGCCAACGTTTTTGGGCTAGCTACGGGCCTGAAGTGTGGATTAAGTCGTCAGAGATTTGATATTTTCCGAAAAATGCAAATCACGCTGATTTCGGTAAGTATTTAACCGGATCCGTCTAGCTGCGGTCGATTCCGGTATATTTATGTTGGTGTCGGTAATGGTTTCAACGTCTGGATGATAAGGATTACTGAGTTGCCCACCTGACCTGAAAGATGGCGGACCTCGAAGAAGCCACTGAATGATTGAAAAAATGCGATGTAAATGAGGTGGCAAAGGTTTGTATTGTACATTAGTAACGTGAGATAGATAAGCAACTTTGAATTTACTAGTTTACGCCATGATCGTGTCTATCTTTAAAATGGAATTCAGCGGTATAAAATTTATGCGTTTACTTTCAATTTATTTTTCTTGACGTCTGACCACGCCCACCTATAAATTCGAAATGAAATTGGGTTTAAGGTCCTACTGTTCTGCTCTTGAAGACGGGCATATGCCATACAGTGTGCCATGAGGAGGGAAATTTTGCCTGGACAGTGGCACTATATGGCCTACTCTTTTTATATCGAATTCCAAATGCCAAGGGATATATGTTATGTGCACGCCAATGTGTTCACAGGACCTCGGTTTTCCATCCCATCCGAATAACTAGACAGCTGTCCTTGTCAGGCCCTCCATCCTGCACCACTGACAAAGCGAAACCATGTCAGAAAATCCTGATAAACTTTCTTGGCCAATGCAGGGATCGATCATGCGACCTTCAGACTAGCGAGCCAGCATCCTACCCACTTGGCCAACGTGGCTCCCACGTATAAATTCAGTGAATCTAATATTAATAACGTTATTGTGCAGGGTGACTGCACCACATGTAAACCATTACACAAGTGCTGCTGAATTGTAAAATATTACCCATTTATAAGCGTAAATCGGTTTGCTGTTATATGCAAAACATATTGTGCACAAATACCATGTTTTTATTAAGTATAGAATGAATAAAAACAAGGGAATGTACGGACTATTTCTTTTCTATTTTTTTCGTTTTCTCTTATGTAGTGACATTCAATTACTTTTTTGTATTGTCCGATATCCTCTCACATAACAACTTTTGGTCTTGGAAGGAATTATTAGTGAGCAGAAATTCGCCTGTGATCTGCTATCACTTGTCACATCAAAAAGAAAGATAACTCATGTTTTCCTTTTGCTTCATTTCCTTTAACTGCCATTAGAAATATCAAATACTATACATAAACCATGCATTATTTTGAATTACAGCTTACTCATCTTGTGGCAGAATGGTGGATACAGATGGCAGAGGATACAGGCAAGGCAGTATGGTGGATACAGAATGGTGGATACAGAATGGTGGATACAGAATGGTGGACACAGACGGAAGAGGATGCAGGCAAGGCAGTATGGTGATCTGTTTGGCGGAGTGGGAAAGGGAAGTTCTGCCACTCTGTCCATTAAAACCAGATTTCTATGGGCGGTTTTTAGATGACGTTTTCATAGTCTGGACCTACACACTAGACGAATTTTGGACGTTTTTCAACATTCTGAACAATCATCATCCATCTGTCAAATTAACCGCAAATGTAAGCCATAACAGCATAGATTTCCTTGATACTACCGTCTTTAAAAGTAACAACACCAAAATCACCGGCCAATTGGAAACTAAAGTATTTTTCAAAGAAACCGACACACACCAATTATTGTTCAAAAGCTCCTTTCATCCAAAACATACATTCTCTGGCATCATAAAATCTCAGATTCTCCGTTTTCATAGGATATGTACTCAGAAGACCGACTTTGAGTCAGCATGTACATTGGTATTTAGCAAACTAAGGGAAAGGGGATACTCCAAACGCTATCTACGACGTATAAAAAACAACACTCTAGCTGAGCTTGCCGCCAAAGAAACAAATAATATACAATCAGCACATAAAACCAAAATTTGTGGCCATCCAAGATGTTAAACATGCAAAATCTTAAACATATCCGACCATTTCCATAACAAAACATCTGGCACAAAATTCCCAATATTAGACCAACTTTCATGCAGTAGTTTAAACATAATTTATCTAATCTCATGCAGAAAATGTGACAAGCAATACGTAGGGGAGACTCAAAATGCACTTAGGGAAAGAATTAACGGTCACCGGTCTGACATAGTCACCAAAAAAGACAAACCTGTCTCAATTCATTTCAACCAACCAAATCATGACATTTCTGATCTCATTGTCACGCCAATAGAAAAGACCAAAAGCGACTTTGAAACTTCAGAAGAAATTAAAACGTTTAGGCTAACAAGAGAAAAATTCTGGATTGACAAATTGAAAACAACAGCCCCCCTAGGTTTGAATATTCATACGGCTAGCGCAATAGCTCCTTTTGTAGTTCCATTTAGCGCAACAGCAGCAAGTGCGTCCAAAATCATCAGAAAACACTATACGGATCTCCAAGAAAATCACCCGAAAATATTCACACAGAAACTTATAATTGCATATTCTAAAAATAAAAATCTGAACGACATCCTAGTGCACAGTAAATTAGATTA